GTTTACTTTGATGCCTTTGTCAGATAAAATACTTTTAATCAATTGCAACACAAAGTAAATTCTTTCCTCCTTTTGCCGTATTGCAGTTCTTCTGATGAAGGACCGCGAAACAAACAAATCCAGAGGGTTTGCATTTGTTACTTTCGAAAGCCCCGCAGATGCAAAGGATGCAGCGCGTGAGATGAATGGAAAGGTGAGTGCCATCTTTAATCTGCGTTAATCTTTAAAAACAAAACTGATTAAAATCTTGATTGTAATTGAATGTCTTTGACCACAGTCTCTCGATGGCAAGCCTATCAAAGTTGAGCAAGCTACAAAGCCTCAGTTTGAGAGTGCTGGCAGACGGGGACCTCCACCCATGCACTCCCGCAGCCGTGGTCCACCCAGAGGTCCACGCGGCTCCAGAGGTGGTCCTGGTGGCATGAGGGGACCCCCATCCAGAGGTAAGTTATAGATTTTTTTTTTTTGTTCAGTTCAGTTAGTAACATAAATAAACGTTTACACTAGTAAAATACTGTCATTAAGTGTGTTTTTGTTTGAGTTCAATGTGTTAATATTTGCATTTCTTGTCTGTTAAAAGATTACTATGACAATTCGGGGGGCGTAGAGCCCTTCTTTAAAGGGATGTCATCGAGAGGCCCCCCTCCGATGAAGCGAGGGCCCCCAGTTCGTAATGGAGGACCCCCACCCAAGAGGTCCGCCCCATCTGGTCCCATGAGCAGACGTAAGTGTGACAGAATTCTGTTTGTATTGAGTTAAATATTAATGGAGCAAGAGATGTATAAATAATTTTAACAGTGACCTGCTTGGAATTTTCTATGTAGATTTAATCTCATGGTTCTTTGGTGATTAATCAGCCCCTTTGTCATTTCAGCACCCATGTCAAGGGACAGGGATCCTTATGGTCCACCTCCACCTCGCAGAGACTCCATGATGTCCAGGAGGGATGATTATTCGTCACCTAGAGATGACCATTACAGCTCAAAAGACAGGTAGGACATTTCATGTTTAGTTATACAGTAGTGTCAAAGTATTTGGACAACCTCAAGATCATGCACAATTTGTTGAGCAAAAATAAATAAGATTTGAATATTTATTTCTGACATGTCTGTACCGACTTCTATTTAATGCACAGATTGTGACAGTTAAAATAAAATTTACCTAAATACAAAACTAAACTACAACTATATAGATCTTGGGCAAAAAATGTATTTGTGAACAGAAATTTAATCTACTTTTGAAAGCAGGTTTAATTAGGTTCAGGTTAGCAAGTCCAATCATTGAACAGACCAGTATCTTGTGGTTGAAGCTTTGCATTAATTCTGCTATGTTTCACAGCTACTCCAGTCGGGATTATAATTCCAGAGATTCGAGGGACTATGGACCTCCTCCCAGAGACTACTCATACAGAGAATATTCTAACTCCAGTTCCCGAGATGATTATGGCTCAATGTCAAGAGGATACAGGTATGAGAGCGGGTTTGTACAGAAAGTTAAGATCGGATATCCCCGGTTCATCAAATAACAATTCCTCCTGATACGCAGTGACCGTGATGGTTATGGAGGAGGCCGGGAACCAAGAAGCTACATGGATCGACCAAGTGGTGGCAACTACCGAGATTCATACGATGGTTACGGTAAGATACAAGTCTATGAGTGTAGTGACAACAGATCATCACTGGCGCAAAGAAGAGCTGCACAAATAACCAACCAAATCATAGCATTGGCTGCCGCCTTGTCCACTCACAAGTCGCAGATTTTCGCCTCCACAGAGGAAACAAGATTTTTTTCTTTCCCAGACCTGCATCCAAGTTGCATATTTTCATGCTGTTAGAAGTATGGAACCATTGGCCTCTCGACTGATACCAAAACTGTAATTCAGAAGCTGTACCCAAAAATCCCAGTCCCCAATACCGCTGCATTCATCAAGAAAATCCTTGTGTGTGGCAATATGCAGAAAATAACGCAGAATATTTGATGCGCCTCAGAAAGTTTGCAACCATAAGGAACCCCCCAAAAACCCTGGAAACATCCGTTGTTCAGTAAGTGTTGCCTAGCACAGCCCTCCCTCAAGGAATAACCTCCAAAAACATGAAGACAACTCTGAAATCCTCGTCCTTACCTACTCTTGGAGCTCTTAAAGGAAAAATGGCTACTCAAATCAATGGCATGCTGAAATGGATGACACTGCCTATTTATTCCCTGTGCTTGGATACATTACCGTGCATATCGACTAAATATCCATGTTAAATTTAAGATCGATACAATGGTGAGACATTTAAACGTGTCATCCATTAAATTATTTTTTCACAGAATGAATTCTATTGGCAAAACATGAGCACTTGACGGTGCAAGAAAATGTATAAATTGAACCTTGCCAATTACCTGAACCATTGACCCTGCAGGTAACTCTCGCAGCGCCCCACCTTCACGGGGCCCCCCACCATCCTATGGTGGGAGCAGTGGAAGCAGTCGTTACGATGACTATGGCAGCAGTTCCCGGGATGGCTATGGCAGTCGTGACAGTTATCCCAGCAGTCGGAGTGACCCATATCCACCTAGCCGTGGTGAGCGAATGGGCAGGCAGGAAAGGGGCCCAGCTCCCCCTGCCGAGAGAGGCTACCCTCCTCGTGACTCGTACAGCAACTCAAGTCGTGGAGGGCCACGTGGTGGCCGCGGAGGCAATCGAGCCGATAGGGGAATGGCTCGCAGCAGATACTGAACTGGACTTGGAAGTCACATTAAAGCAAGCGTTAGTCTCCGTGCACACTTAACACGTGTTTTGGAAGAAATCTGACTACAAGACAAACTAGCCATGTCTAAATCTGTGAAATATAAAGCTTAGCTTTGAACTGTTTCTTGACTTTCCCAGTTTTTTATGTGTAAAAGTTTTTTTTTTTTTAGTATTTCTCTTGCTCATGTCACAGTACAGTTACCAAGTGAGTGTTAGTTTTTGTACATTCAGTGCTGTTGGAATCTGAAATGCCCTAAACGTATGGCTTTCCTACTCTAATAAAGCTTTTAGTTGTACCTTGACCACTGCTCATCAATTGTCAAAACAAGACCAGAGACAATAACGATTATGTTAAGTAACAACATGATCTCCTTTACAAAGCTCTCTGTAAAGCTTAGGTAAGTCTGCTCGTGCTATATAAATACTCGAGTGAGATGAGTTCATCTTTAACACAACTGTGCTTCCAACTGGACGCTGCTGTTTTCAACGTTAGGCAAATGTCACTGTCAAAATGTTCCAATGTAGTTTCCTTGGAAATGGATCCATCACCCTAGAGCCATTTGATGGCATGCAACGACAAAACCAAAGGCAACAACAAGCAAATGCAACTCGACTGATAGTCAACAGCTGGTAAGCAAAGCAAACCTCTTTGTTTCTCATCTGTAAATGAGTTTCTCATTGTCCTGTATTGCAATCTCCACTCAAGACAACTTCCTCAGGGGACAAAAGAAAGAAATGGTCAACTGAAATGAGCCTTTTTCATTGTAGTCCGTTTTCATCAGTTAAAATTGTCAGAAGTGCAGCAACATCCCAAGAAGTTTCTTCTCTTTTCAGCAATCAAAAGTTTTAACAGCCATTTTGCCAACTGAGACCTCGAAACGATGATCCTTTTTGCCCAACCAATCGTCCAACCTCAGTAAAATGATTGGCCACATTACGCTATAGGTAATGATATCTAGTGACTTTTTTTTTTCCTTTCTTGGTAAACGTCTAAAAGCCATTTTAAATTAAGAACCATTTGCTCAGTATCAAACCCTTTTCCACAAGCATGCCAATTCAAACAATGGAGACCTCTGGAAGAACACCATCGTCCTCACTGCCAAACTGGAAAACGATCACTGAAGCGAATTTGCAGTCGGACCCAGGCCTACAGCATCATTTTCAGATATTTTTATGAATACATGATTGAGAAAAGGGCCACGTGTTAACATCGTGCTCTCATTGCAGGATGAGCGTCGCCTCCAAGGCAACTGACCTTGCAACGTACCTGAAACATGTCCTCACTGAAGTGGAGGAATCAAACCGCAGCGCGTGAGTGAAGGTAATCTCGTAACGATGTACAAACTATGAGGTGTTGGCGGCACGAAATGGACAGTGTGATGGTCGATCATGATAAAGTATCATGAGAGCTTTACAAAGAAGTGTGAACTTTAGCTGCAGTTGAAATGTTGAAAATGACCACTGAGGTTATTTCATAGATTTACTTCAATTCAAATAACTTTATTTATTCCCTAGGGGCAATTCAAAAGCTCACTGACTATTTAATATGAAGACAAATGAATGATGTCTGTGTGGAACTCAACAGAAGTAATAATTAGTTTGCACTGTTTTTCAGATGCTGGTCCAGCCTTCTGCTGAGCGCCGGGTCAACCTTTCCTTCGAGCGGAACAAAGCGGGAAGAGCGGCAGCTGAGGATTTGCTCTAATTCACTTTTTTTGTGTTTTTTTTGTTTGTTTCCAATAAAGACTTTGAAAAGAGCTCCGTCGTTGTTCACTTGGTTTAATCATGAAACAAGAAAACAGTGAGCACACTTCTGCCCTGAAGCTGCACTTCTTTTCTTTAACTGGGCTTGTGGTGTCTTGTTTCCATCATTTAGCTGCAAACACGACGATTCCATCAACATGAGTTAGGTTGACATAGCAGCTGTCTGGAAGATTGTATTGAGGTTTCAGAGGCTTTCAGTGTGATTTTTTTAGTTTGCATCTTGATAAAATGTGAGAGCGCTCCAGGCTGACCCACTGAGTTATCTCTACTGTACATGGGAGCATTTTTCTCTCTCCAAACATGCTGATGCTCACCAGATATCAGATGCTGCATTTCAGCTTGTAATCTAATCTGAGACAAAATGCCCTCTGCCAGCATGTGCTTCTTTGCAGAAAGAGAGGAGGGGGAAAACATTGTTGAGGTGCCTGTTAGCCAGTAGGGGTGATCATCAGTTTTGCGTGCAGAAACAGCGCCGTCCTTCCCCCCACCGCCTCTTTTTTTTTTTTTTTTTTTTAAACTTCTAGCAGAAGTGCGGATGTGAGTTGCATATTGATACGGAACAGGCCGCCAGTTTTTTTTTTCTCAGTGTTTCTTTTAAAGCAATGCGGGTTTAGGGGCGATGATCGTTTCGTGGAGCGATGAATCCAGAGGAGCAGACGGTTACATGGCTCATCTCGTTAGGAGTGCTCAGCTCGCCCAAGAAGAACATAGCGGACCCGGAGGAGTTTCTGAAAACATCCCTGAAGGATGGAGTCGTCCTGTGCAAGCTCACCGAGCGCCTCATATCTGGCTTCACCGCCAAGGTGAGTTATCGATCGGAGCCAAAATGCCAAAAGTGATCGAAGGGAGGGGTTTGATGAAAAGTGATACCGACCAGAAGTTGTGTGTGTGTGTGTCCGCCGCGGGGCCTTGTGTTTCTGTCGCTACTCGAGCAGCGGAGTTGTCTGGGTTTTTTACAAAATTATTTTATTTTTTAAAAAGTTGTGCCCTTTTGCGCGATGCATCGACTTACAGCAACGTTTGGCCACTTTTCAGACGCGAGATTTCGAGATGTGGTTTCCTGTGAAACGAGGAAAAATGTTCCGCATTCTTGACATGAGTGAGTCGCTGTGAACACCCACCAAACAGGACAAGTTCAGCTCTACGGCTTCACAGCCAGCACAGTCTCACCCTGCACGCTGGTTTTATAACTACTGTTTTGTTTTTACAACTCGATGAGCTTAGTCGGTGTTTAGAACTTTAGTTGTTGAGGGGCACAAACTTGATCATGATAAATAACAGTTGCAAAGACGGTTCGTCATTTCCTCCTGAGCGGCTGCTCTTCCCGGTGCGACCTCCCTCTTTAAGAGCGTCAAGCTGCGGCAGTGCACAGGAAACACACAACAACAACAACAATAATAATAATAATAATAATACCCCTATTAGGACAGCACTTCATGAAAACATAAAAGTACAACGTCCCTTACACAGAGATGGCAAAAAGTGCTCACATTCTTTATTTAAGTAGAAGTAGAGATACTTGTGTAAAAGTAGAAGTACTGACTCAACCCTGTACTCAAGTAAAAGTTAAAAAAAACTACAGGGTCAGAAATTTGCTTAAGTACAAAAGTAAAAATGAAATTTTAGCTTTGATGATATGCGATGACTCTTTTGATAACTCTACAAAATGTCAAAAAGTTTGAAGCACACAGATAGGATTGTTTTCATCCTTTACAGAGAAAAACATCACTGGACACTTTTCCATTTCAGCAACATTATGAACATTAAACATTATAATCCTCATGGAAACACTCATCTCTTCAAGACTACCTAAATCTTCCATTGAGCCTCTGCAGAAGCTGGTTCTCAAAGTTCTTTGAATGAAGACGAGCCCTTTTGGGTCTGGACATCAGTCCTGCAGCGCTACAAAGCCTCTGGCAGGCAGCTGAGGCAGGCAGGCCTGTGTTGAGCTTCAGGGACAAATTACACACCGCTGGGAAAGATAAAGATGTTTGTTGTTATGTCTTTTTACGTCATGTCGTCATCCGCAGAGGTTGAAACAAGTAACGAGCCAGTTTTGAGAATGTAAGGAGTAGAAAGTACGGATATTTGTGTTCAAATGTAGGGAGTGAAAGTAAAAAGTTGTCTGAAAAAATAATACTCAAGTAAAGTACAGATACCTGCAAAATCTACTGAAGTACAGTAATGAAGTATTTGTACTTTGTTACTTCCCACCTCTCTGACATTTGATGGAAACAGTAAAATGATGAAACAAATTCAAATAAATAAGATTCCAAACATGCTGTATTAACATATTAAATTGGAATGCATTCAGATAAATAACATTCTAAACATGCAACGCAAAAAAAGAAAAGTCAAGTCAACTTTTTTTAAATCAACAACTGGATGCAGTTGAATTTTTTTCCAATTGAACAAAGACATAATGGAAATAGTTGGTTTTGGAGACAAGGAAGAACGATTCAGCGTCTGTAGTTTGCATTTATCCTCATGTTATTGCAATTTAAAAAAAAACAGTCCAATCTCGTCTGCTCTTAAAATGAATTTGAAATAATCACATCATTTTTTAAAGAGAAAATTCTGCCTATGATGTCTAACATTTATGTTGCATTTCAGCAGCTAATCCTTATGTATAATACGTTTGTGTGGATCAAAATGACCAGTGGGGTAAGATTACCCCATCACCCTCAGCAGGGTTCGGGGGAGCATCTTTCCCAGGTCATAAGGTGAGATGGCCCTTTTAAAGAAAACCACAAACTATACCAGAAACCTTGTTGTGGTTATGGACTCATGAATCTCAGTAGCTACATTAAGATAATTGCAAACTACCACCTGAAGAACATATCAAGACTTAAATGACTTATGTCTCAACAGGACTAAAAAACTTGCAGGTCTTCAAACATCAGCTGATTCAGAATGCTGCTGCTTTAATTCTCTTTATGTGGATCACATCCCTCCAGTTCTGAGGTCTTTACGTTGACTTTCTGTCTGCCACAGAAATATTTTAAAATACTGCTGCTTGTTTCCAAAGCACTAAATGGTTTCGGGCCAACATACATGTCTGATCTGCTCCCATGTTATGAACTGTCCAGACTTCTCAGGTCATCTGGGACGAGTCTCCCTTCTGTCCCCAAAGTCAAAGCAAAGCAAAGAGAGGCCCCTTTCAGTTTTTATGCATCACATATCTGAAACTAACTCTGCTGCAATTCTCACTTCTTTTAAATGAAAATGACCTTAAAAGTTTAAATATTGGGGTTAAGACCCAATAGTGTTATTTCTAGTGTGATTTTACCTGCATAATCTACGTACCAACTCTACAAAAATCCTGAAATCCTACAAAATTTGTATACAAAACTACTTTACATGTCTATACTAGACTCAACAGCATCATAAACTATGGAAAATAACCAGAGCTAAAGTTTTCACGTTATGAAAATACACAGTAAAACCCAGCATGTCCAAGAGTCCCTGAATTTCCCATCAGTATGTTTTTATATTTTATTTCATGCGGATTGCTTTGTGTGTTTTGGTTTATTTTATAGTAATTTATTACTGTATTATTCGATTTTATAAAAAGATAAAAGCCTGAAGTAAGAACTTTTTGCTTAGGACAAACCGCAATATGGGCGTATGGACATCAGTGATTTTCAAAATTGTAGCCTTGCTAATGTTAGATTTTATCCATCCATCCATCATCTATACACCGCTTAATCCTCACTAGGGTCGCGGGGGGCTGGAGTCTATCCCAGCTGACTCAGGGTGAAGGCAGGGGACACCCTGGACAGGTCACCAGTCCATCGCAGGGCCACACTTAGAGACAGACAACCAAGCACACTCACATTCACACCTATGGACAATTTAGAATCACCAATTAACCTCAACATGTTTTTGGACTTGTGGGTTATAGTCAAGTTCTAACTTTTGTCCTAGATCTCTTGGTTCTAAATTAATGCGCAATAATCACATTTAAAAGAAAATAAAACCTAGTTTCTGTGTGTATTATTTAACATTCATGTGCAGTTAAAATTGGAGCAACATCAGCTGGTGACCGTTCAGTTCTAAATGAGCTCAAAGATCGGACGCTAAACACTAAAAAATTATATGAATATTTGCAATTCTATGTACAATATCAGTTTCTGTATGAATTTGAAGTGCAATATTTAATTATTGCTTCACCATCATTGCAAGTCCAGTTTTATTTTAGCTGGTTTATTCTTATTTTTACTTATACTGTATTGCTATTCTACTTGGCACTGCATTTATTCTCTGAGTAATATCTGGCACAACAGTTTCCTTTGAGATTAGTTCCACTTTATCTAATCTTACCTAATCTTACTTTATGTTATTTTACGGTGCCTTATCTTGTCTTAACAATGACTACCAATATCATATCATTTCAAAATAAAAACTAATCTTTGTTTACTTTTTGCACTTATTCTTATGTTATTGTAATTAAAAACAAATTCTATCATCTCTAAAAATTAATTTTCAATTATCAAAAATATTCATTTAGCCTTTGTGTTTCAGATGCAATGTCAGAGCAGTGTTAATTTTTGAGAATATAGTTATTCTTATGCATAAGCAACAAGTCTGAACTGATCAGAAAGACTTGTAAGGTAAGGTTACCCCCAGGATTTAGTTTTCTAGTAAAAAAGTTGCAGTGTGTTGTGATATATTTTACCATCAAAATCCACTTAAGCCTACATCCTATAAACACATTATATTGAGATTCAGTCTATTTATATTTTAAAAGAAATATGAGTTACATTTTTGCTTGTTTTTCTATCCTCTGTCTGGGACAGTCAAGCTTCTTTTTTAAAATCAAAAGAACAATTTTAACTTTGCTTCCAGACCTATTTCCCAACGCGAGTGTTTGACGGACTTTTATTTTGAAAGTTGGCAAAGTGACAGGATGTTTTGCTCAAACATGGCCGCCTTGACGCTTCTGTGGTGTTAATGGTTATATATGCATGAAGGAGACGCAGTCAGAATCCACAGTTATCTTGTAAACTGTAGCTTTCACACTCGGATACCCGCATCTCTGCCACTTCATGCGCTTTTACGCGTCGCAGGAACCAGAGCAACGTCGGCGGCCAGCGTTTTGTGTCAGATGTCTGTTTGGGCACACTAAGCCGAGCTATGTGTTTATATATTTATTTTGTGTGCTCAGTACTGCCAGGACCCGAGAACTGAAGCCGACTGCATTTCCAACATCAGGGAGTTTTTGAGAGGATGCTCGTCCTTGAAAGTGGAGGTAAGTTGAACGAGTGTCAAGTTTTTTTGTGTGCTGAAACGTGCGATGTTTTTTTTTGGCGTGAAGCTGACCTTTCTCTGCCATGATCTCCTTACTTGGCCCCTTTAGCCTGCTGCGGTTCAACGGGGGAAGATTTGAACACACTCCTGTGTTGTGTTGTGATCCACTTACCCATATGCTTTCTTCACACGTCCATGTGGAGTGAGCCACATAAACAGGCATGCTGTCACTCACTGACACTGAGGACTCTTGTGACTTCTGTTTTCAGCTTAGTTGTTAACTGCCTTGTAAATTCTCTTTCATGCTCCTGTTGCTCAGTTGTTGTGTTTTGCTGCAGGTAGAAACCCTCCCTGATTCACCCTGCAGGCTGCTTACCATCCTAATATTGGAAAAGGAGTCAAATCGCCTCCAGATGTTGGGAGTTTACTCCGTACCAGCCCCGCTTTGTGACACTGGACATTAATGTCTCCTCCAGCTTTATAAATAATCTTTTTCCGGCTTTGAATCACATCACTCGGTTTCTTTAAACAGCTAATTGAGTCAGCAAGCCTGGCTCGCTGCAAACTCTCGGTGGTTCAGTAGTTGTGCCCAGCTGGCTTGTTATGTCTGGGAGGTCCCCTTTGCTTTTATCCACCAGCTCTTTCTCAGCCCATAATTAGAGCTTTTGCCGCCAGCCAGTAGCTCATGGTCAGAAGTCTTTTTCGGAGAGCCATCAGTCAGATGTATCAGCGAGGAGATGTCTGTGGCACCACGGCAAACCCTGCCCATCCTTTGGTCAGTGATGTGATGGTGGTTAGAGATGTTTTTCGCTCTCTTTTTTTTTTCTCTCTCTCTCTCTCTCTCTCTCTCATGCCTGTTTGTCCTGTGACTGCACAAAGAAGGCAGTCATACTGCTTTCACTTCTGCTCTGACATTAAGAAAGAGGAAGCACCAATTGCTGCCCAGGGCCTCTGACTTTTTTTTTTTTTTTTTACTGCGTTATTTGCTCTGATTTTATTTATTGCCACAGTTATTTAGAGTGACATTTATTCAAGACGTGACTCACTGACCCTGATTGTGGTCGTGGTCTCAATACTGGGTTATTACTGTTGAGAGGGAAAAATCTTGATGACTGACCCATTAACCTCTTTTAATGTGCCTCATTGGAGCAACTGAATATCTCCAGTACTTTGTGAACCTGAAACCAGCGATAAAAAAACCGTCATGCTTGAAGACATCAGAGCTGATATTTACTTGGTGACTTGACGGATCGTGTCGACCCCTCGGTGTGATCGCACATCTGGTCACACTAAACTCTGAATGAGTTTTTATTTTTTTTTGACCCACCTTATACTACTCAAGCTCTATATTTAAGATGTTTTATTTAAATGTGAAACCTTATCCAGCGGAGGAAAGAGGATAGCCGTCTGAGACTGACCGAGCAGGCAGAGTGAGTGCGTGCGAGCATCTATGTGAACAGCGAATCGCAACACTGTCTGTTTTATTGCGAGCCACAAAATATGGGCTGCGCTCAACATGTCAGTTTTTATTTCTGTCTTGTTACCGGCTTATTCAAATCCCTCTGTGTGTGTTTCATTGTGTGTGTCTTCCCATTGTGTGCGCCACAATGTGGAGCGTCTCTCTGTTTGTGTCCGTGTGCACCTAACAAGCAGTGCTACTCGCATCTATTTATTCAGGGGGAAAGTTCTAATTTTGACTTGTTTGTCTTCTATTTTAATGGATTCCAGGCTGTGTGAGCGGATGGTTTCAGTGTTATGTGGTCTGACAGCATCTTCTCTGTTGCCTCTCCATCCAGGGCTTTGAACCGGAGTGGCTGTACACCGGCGAGAACTTTGGCAAGGTGCTGACTACGTTGCTGGCAGTCAACTTTGCCACACAAGGTAAGAGTTTAGTGGTTTTCTTCAGTGTTGGGAGCTGCTCGAGAAGATTTTCTCATCTTTGTGAGTACAGAATCAAATGAAAGTGGCCAAAGTTTAAAAAAAAAAATTGCCTGATGCCTGATGATCATTATAGACGTTGTGGGGAAAAAAACGAGGCATCATGAAAAGAAACCATGAAACCAGGAGACATCTAAATACGAGGCCGAGCATGAAACGTTCTGGTGTGAACTTTCCAGTGCTGGAGCTCAGATATTTAATGCAAAGAACATGTAGCTGAGTAATTAGAGTGGCCAGGTGAATTCTCGTGCCTTGTGTGTTTGCCTCCGTAAAGAGTAGTGTTGCTCTTTGCCACATTTCTGCTGGTTTTGTCCGTGAATCCCTTCGAAAATCGCGATCGGGGTTGTCTGCATTGAGCAGCTGGCGTGGCAGTGTGTGTTTGTGTCACGCTGTGTGCCATATTTACTCATGTGCATCTTTCCATAAAACATACTTTTTGTATTCTGAATGTTCAGATAAAGCTCCAGAGCAAAGTGAAAACACATAATGTGACTGAGTGTGAGCTTGTAGGTGTGCATACAGCCCTCCTCCCCTTCTCAAGTGCATTTCCTCAATAAGGACATCGAATAATTTGCAGTGCAGCAGTCCTGCAGCAGCAGTTTGAGACTAATTGCTTCCCTTTGAGAGTCCTTGTTTTGGGGGCACTAAAGAGTTGATAGCAGCCTCTCCTCTCTTCGCTATCTAGCCCACAACGGCCAGAGAACCAGCAGCCTCGGAACCATTTAGTCAGCGTTTTGAGCCTAATCTGCCACCTCTGCATGCTCTGTAATAGACGCATAATGCTCCAGGCTGTCGGGAACAAGTGTTTGTGTCTCTCTTGTGTAAACAGTGTCATGGATATGTGCCTTAGATTGTTTTGCTGAATGACAACGATGATGGACAACATTAGCTTTTGCAGCCAACGATTATGTTCATAATTGATGAGTTGTGTTGCTTATTTTTCTGATTAATTCATTAGTCTATAAATATTAGAACATCACGATAATTGGCCTTCACAGTTTGAGCCGGAGGTGATGTCTTCAGATTGCATCCTTTAATGGACTTACAGGAAAAAATCCAGACATTCAATTTGCAAATTTATAGACAAAAGATTCCAAATCCTCACAATTTAGGAGCTATTAGATATAAACGTTGGGCAGCTTTGCTTGATAAATAGCTATCATTTGTCATTTTAACCTGTAAATTAGTCAATTAACTGTTGCAGCACTATGTGATTTTACCTGCTGCACCTTCCTTTGGTAAAATGTTAAATTTAACTTTCTTAATGCACCATCAGTATCTTGAATGCACTGAGATAAAGAGGGGGAAGCATTCCACAGAGCGAGATGTGGAACAGAAGCCTCTGTCAGTGCCGGGCTCTAATTGATATGCAGATCTTTTATAGGCTAGCTATGCCCGGCAGCTGTTCTCCCGTCTCTGTAAGTGAACTTGATTTAAAGTGGATTAGTCACAAGTTAGTTGATGTGATCAAGCAGAAAAGGCCTCTGTGTTATTACTTGCGATCTTCTTCCGAGCCCGGCTTCTGCGTTACGTGTTTGTGCGCTCAGCGGTTATGCATATTCGGGGTAAATGCTTTGAATATTGCAGGAATAACGGCGGTACACCACAGAGCGGAGCTGACAGAAGGGCTCGTTGGGCTTCTCTGTGTGTGGGGAGTAGCATGTGGGATCCATGAGCCCCACCTGCCACTGCCTCCAATGTCCTTGTGATCGCATCTCTGAGGCTTCAGAGCGATGCATCCTGACGTTGCTGCATATGGAAAGCGAATCTTCAGGCTCCCCCACATGTAAACATATGTTGCAGTTTAACAGATTCCAGATGATAAAACAACACAAAAAGTGTTGCCAGTGAACTTAATCGCTTGTAATTTTTTACAGCCTGGGAGCCCAGCTCTTCATTCAATGTGAATCTGAGGTTATGAAGGTTAAGTCCGTGCTCTCATCATTATTATTTTTTTTGTTCTTGTATAATTTGCACAAGGATTAGACGGAGGATTTGGCTCGCGTCCAGTTGGCGTTTGATGGGCAGCCTTCAGCGAGTGTTTCTGCCTGTTAGCGTGTAAGAGGTTTGCAGTGCTGCCATGTGTCACTTTTCAAGTGAATACTGGCAACAAAATTGATACCTCTGTCAGTACATTTCCAGACTGCACTCATACTGCGGGACAGCTGGCAGCTAGTGACCCTAAATCACGGCTCCTCTGCTGCAGCGGCTGAGTGATGACACCGTAGAAGGGCTGCGTGTCAGTCACATAAATTTGATTTTGATTTTCTCCACAAGTCACTGCAGGGAAGTGCATTTATACAGATGGAGGACAGGGTTGGGGTTAAAATGTGCCAGTTAGTCACAGCAGACATATTTGCTGGAGCAGCACAGCGGCTGTGTGAGTGAGATATACTGTATGTGTATATTATTATGTTAAGGCTGCAAGTTTTTTTTCTTCTGTTTTTAAAGCTTCTCTGTCTTTTTTTGGCGCAGTACGTCGTGTTTTGTTAAATCAGATTATTGCATGAGGAATTGTAAATTTGTGTCCCGTATGTGTTCACTGTCCCGGGGCTGTTGCTGAGCAGCGGACCGCGCTTAAACGAATATCATCAAGTTGTCAGCAGCCAAAATGTGTGCACCTGCGTGAACTGTGATGTGTGTTTGTGTGTGTGTGCATTGTCAAGATAAAGGTTATGTGATGAGAGCAAGGCCGGGGAGTCATTCAAACATGAATATAACCAAAATACTCCATATTTCCTCTGTGTGTGTCCACAGATTGTGCTGCTGAGAGATGTCCACAGTCCAGTACCCCCTCTCCTAGTCAGGCCACGACTTCACACACGCTGTCCTCGGCCAAATCCAAAGGCTCTCTGCGCAGACAATCGAAATCGGTGGTACGATCTCTTTTATGTACATCGGTTCATCTTGCTCTTTTCTGTAGCTCTATACCAAACAAGATTACACTGTAGAATGTAGTAAAGCAAAGAAAATCTCCTCTTCAATCAATCAGTCAACTGGTACCAATCTCTAGATTAACTTAGTCCATCGCAATTTACTGATTACACTCTAACTGCTCTTCTAATAAGCCCAAATTAACTACAAATCTACATGAAAAGCCTATTTTTGCAGTTCAACTTGGTTGTTTTCTACTGAAACGATAACAACAAGCTCAGATCCCACCAGCCTGCCCATATTCACATGATTTCCAAAAATAGAACTATATCAACTCATGATCCCAGCAAAAGAGCTAATGAGGAGTCCGACACAGATAAATGAGCCTACTGTTTTACACAACGCGCCGTGTTGGTTTGTGAGTGGTGATGTGCAAAGTGCTTATTGCAAACACTCATCTTTCTAACTAAATGCAGCCATACCAACAAGCTGTTTGGCGCAAAGTAGATTTTTGTTTATTTATGTGATTTGTTTCAGACATGCCCCAGTATCATAAAGGTAAAAAAATAAAACAAAATACACAAACAAAAAATACAACCAAACCAAATCCATAACTTATAATAATGCCTGAAAATGAAGAGGATGTAACTGATTAATTCCTACCCGCTCCATATCTGAACATGTCATATCTTGCTGTCTCCTGTTTGCATCAAACCTTTTACTTCCTCTTAAAACAATTGCTGACTGCTTGCTCATCGGGAATCCGAAGGGAACATGGGATTGTTGGGTTCTCTGTTCTCTGGTTAAAATTCGTAAGGCCTTCACCTCACTGTGTGAAGTGCTATGACATGATATATGTTGTAAATTGGCGCTATGTAAATAAATGAAATTGAACTGAATTAAAAACTCCAACAATATGTCCAGACTATTCCGTAAGTTAACCCCATAAACTGATAGACATCTACTCTTCATGATGGTGCGAGCAAATGGAAATTTAAAATGAAAACTTCTTCTCAATTCCTAGTTTCCAACGTTGCTTCTCAACAGGTGTTGTATGTTCTCAGGGAGTGACTTGTTGCTTGCTTTGAACATTATTTGCACAGTTCTAAATTTAACTGAATCAATAATTTTTTAAGTATTTGTTTTGTAAAACAGTATATTAGTGTGCTCATTGTATCCCACATTATGTACTATCCTTATAGCGAGCTATATAGCTATATATCCTTATAGCTACACCTATAATAATGTAACATTATATGTGTAACCCCACAGATGTTACGTAAATGTTAAACAAGTCAAACCATGCCGTGTCCGTGAGGTTGGTTGAAGTAGTTGTGAAAACACAGGGATGTTCGCAGGTAGTTGCTAGAAAAACTGGATTATCCTTAAAGGCTGTAGATGTAGTTTTCTCATTAATAAAATCAAATCAATGATTTTCCAACTGAAGAAAATTTGTACAGATTAGAGCATATCAACTAACCAGTCGCCCACTCCACTACAGCCTTACTATACGAGATCGGAAAAGTTTCAGGACTGGTGTCACAAAACATATATTTCAAATCCAAACTACAAGTTCAAAGTAATCCCCCTGGAGTCTAACACACTTTCCCAGCCTTCTCTGCCACGCCACCATGCACTCCTGGAAGGATTCTTCCAGGATCCTTCATAGCTCCGTTGTCACAGCCATCTTGATGTCGTCCATGTCTTCAAAACGGGTCTCCTTGATGACCCCCTTGAGCTTGGAGAAGAGGAAAAATTCCCACAGAGCCAGGTGGGGTGAGTAGGAAGGTTGCTCTAGCACGGTGATGTTCTTCTCAGCCAGGAAATGTCGGATGCTCAGGGAGTTGTGAACAGGCGTGTTGTCATGGTGAAGCAGCCATGACTGAACGAAGCAAACGCCGCACGATCTCTTTGTAGACGTGCTGGTTGAGCGTCTGAAGGGGAAAACTTGTAGTTTGTATATCTTTTGTGACACCAGTCCTGAAACTTTCCTGACACATCTCGTACATTCTAATCACTTGCAATAAAGACATAAATATAAAACTAAATGTGCAGATGGAGTTGATCTATTTGTCATTGTGTTGTATACATACACCTGCATACAAACCCTTTTGCTGATATATTTGTATTTGTGTTGCTAACTGGCTCCCTAACAGGAAATGTCTGAGAACGGTGGCGGTGGGCAGCTGATGGTGAAGGCCCGCTTCAACTTCAAGCAGAACAACGAGGACGAGCTGTCGTTCAATAAAGGCGATGTGATCCTTGTGACGCGGCAGGAGGAGGGAGGATGGTGGGAGGGCACGCTCAACGGCAAGACGGGATGGTTCCCCAGTAACTACGTCCGCGAGGTCAAACCCTGCGGTGAGTTCAGCCCTGGATCATGAAATGAATGCTTCTTTAAGTATAATGGTGTTCAAGTCTATCACAAACGTATACAAATACAGAGTATGTGACGTTTTTCTCGGCTTGCATGATGCTTGCAGGTACAATGATGGTGTGTGATGATGCAGTAGCTATGATGACAAAACACTTAACAATGTGTTCTGCAATACTTTTATCAAAATGCAAGTTGATACTGAATACAATCATGTTCAGGAAAGAATGTGCTGAGTTTTTGTTAGTCAGAAAAAGGGACAGAATTCCAGTAGTGTGGATGGCACTTGGATGGCAGCACCTTACCTCACAAAGAAATCAGGTTTTTTTTTCTACATTTGGATGTTTTGGGAAAAAAAAAAAGAGGCGTACTAGTGTGTTTACAAGAATCCTGATAATGAAATATTGATAACCTGTTAATAATACATGTGATAATATCATAAGTAGTCAAGCACCAGTAATTATGTGGTTCGACACGTAGTAGCACAATCATGGTTTCAGACTCTCTCTCCGCCTCCCTACACTTACGAGTGTAATTAATTTGGAAAAAAGAGACGAAACGCACAATAAACAAAGATGAATTTGAATGATTATTTTTCTCCCCAAATTTGCGTATTTTTTATTGTTGTTATGAATTCTTTTGGCCCCCGATAGTCGTATAATGAAAATATAAAAGCCCTACTTTAAATCCCAAACTGATCTTAAACATGGGGTTTGGTGTCTGGATATTTAGTATAACATTTTTTATTTTAATTATTATTATTACCCATTATAACTGTGGTCATTTCAACCTATCTCCTCTACAGAAAAGCCAGTGTCTCCTAAAGGAAACCAGCTGACCAAGAACTATTACAGTGTGGTGAGTCGCAATTAGGCGGAACTAATACAAATATTCTTTATGTCACTTTACTTACACAGTCATGCAGAAAATTGTAATTTGTTTTTGTCATTCTTGTATCTTGTTTATTTACTGGAATTGTAGTTTTTGTTTTTCTTTGCTATTGAGAAACGTTGGTTTTTGGGCCACACACTTTAATTAACAAATTCAAAAAAACATCAACTTTACTTTTTTGCATTTTATGAAC